CCCCAAAACCCCAAAACCCCAAAACCCCAAAACCCCTACTTGAGAAGAGAATATAGAAAATACTAAATAATTTAATATAAGCCAAATCAGTATGCTCACCAGAACAGCAACAATAGTCAGAATGGTAGACTTACCCAAAAGGAAGAAGAACAGACATTCTACATTTTTCATCCAAGAACAATCCCGAAATAGTTTTGCAAAGAAAATCGATAAATATGGGTAGGTTTTTGACCAAAAATAGAATCCCCAGTGGGAATTTTGTGAGAATTAAGGAATCTTAACTTGTCTAGACATTTCAGCAAAAATCATCAAAGAAAAGGTTCAGAGAAGCATATCCAGCTGAATAATGTCATTAAGAAAAATTTAACTCAAAAACTGCCGCCAAGGATCTCCTCATCTAGCACTAGATTGGACCCTTTGAAGTTAGCCAAACTTGATTCTAAAAAGAATGATTCATCATCGGAGGAGTATGAGACTCCTTTTAAAAAGATAAAGTATCATAGCATTAGGAACACTCCAATGAGGAAATAAGAGTCTAAATTTGAGGCCTCTTCCAATGTTGCCAAATGTTAGGGATCTCCTCCTACCTCCAGCACTACAGAAGAAGAATAGTAAGTGGGGAGCACTTTTGGTTTTGGCCCTAAAAAGCTATCCAAATTTTGTAGTATTCCTCATTATGAATTAGAAAGCAGTAACTTCCCCAGTATTTTTATTAGTTAGATTAGAAATACTAAGTTAGGAGTAAAACCCTCCTGATAAAGCATGCTAGGATTGCACCAAAACAGCTAAAGTGCAGGAAATTTCTTTTTAAATTATCATATCGTCCCTGCCTATATTTCATAAAGAAGTTCGAATCAATGAATTTTCTGTTGATCATCCCATAGAATAATCGCGTTTATCAGCTACAATTTTAATATAGTTTTTGCAAATTCGGGAAATATGAGATTGGATATGACTAAATTCTTCCAAAACTCCACTTTCAGGAGGTAATGTTGTTTTGGCCCACAATAATTTAGAACACCTACCACTTCTTTATCACCATTTCGGAATACTAACAATTGCGTTTAGAAAATAGAACTTGAAGTCATCAAAGAAACGATTTGGGGCTAACCCCGTTGCAAAAGCGGAGTGCAGGTAGGCCTAATTCTAAATTGGTTACCTTCAGAGCATAATTTTACAATTTCTTTAGGCATGAACTTGAAATTGGATACGAATCTAATGAAGAAGATATCTGCTCCACATTCTTCAGAATGTGTTCCTTCAGATAAAGGATTCTCTCGAAACTCGAAACCTCCACTTTCGGCTCAGTTGAAGAACACGACATCTGGGAAGGCTAAAGAGAAGGCTTTGTTTTTTCTTCCTCATAATTTTAAGATTAAAAAGTAGGTTTTTACCTTATTTTCAAAACTTTATAAAATTTCTAAAATCCCTCAACTACCAAATTTTCTCTTCCATGTGAATTGATGTTAGTGGTCGAGGAAGAGGTCTTAAGAGAATATATATCCAAATTTTGCTTCTGAGGTCATTCTTAAGCTCAGTCTGGCAGATTTGGTTAATGATTAGCTACAAGAAAGCCTATCTAAAGTTTTACTGACTTTGTGCCAAATACTAATCTAACTTCTATAGTAAAGCAAATTGCAATTCATTGATCCAGTCACTTCTAAAGAGATCTATAGAGTACAGGAAGAAGTTTGATACAAGTGTAAGACTTCCAAAGCTAAACCAAAACAGTATGTAAACCTAATCCTTTTCAATAATAACAAAGCTGCCAGGGGTTTTGGGGTTTTGGGGTTTTGGGGTTTTGGGG